TTCTTTGCCCCCAAGCTCACCCATGTCTCATGTTTGCCCACTTTTGTGGAGAGTGAGCCCCACGGGTCAGATGCAAAGACCCCTGAGCTACCAGTTCCAGCATGACCCCCACCTGCTTAAAGCCCCCTGGTGACACCCCCGCAACCTTGGGACAAAGTCCCTGCTCTTCCGTTCAGGCTCTGAACCAGCCTGTGACCCGGCCTTGGCTGACTCGTGCCACCTCACTGTCTGTCTTGAGCTCTGCACTCTGAGCACAGCCCGCTGCACTGCTCAGGGACAAGTTGTGGTTTGTAGGATGATTGAACCAGCAACCAGCCTGCTCAGGGACCATCTTGCTTCATTCCTAGCCTGTTAAAAGGAGCTCCCTGTCTAGCTGGGGACTTAGTATGCCACCAAAAATCTCATCTGCACAGTCTGTTTTGCTTATGTTCTTCTTGACATTTCAGAGCAAGGCACTGAGCCTCTCAAACTGACAAATGTTTTGCCATCCTCATTTCTGCCCAGCAGGCTGTGCGCTTTGTACACTTCTGCACCTCTTCTACATTTGTGTTTCTTCAATTAGAGAAATATGAGTCTCAAGATGAAACTAAAAAATTGCCTCTCTGGAGAAGCTGCAGGTAGAACCTGTGCTCCCCGCTTTTCTCTGATTTCTGCAGGTCAGTGCTTATCAGAACAGCTGTCGCCTACCCTCCCTGCTGAGCACCGAGGACCTGAGTCTGGGGTCGCACCTACTTCTGAACACCTTCCACTCAGCAGAGCGTCAGCACATCCCTGTGGAATCGGACGTTTCCTGAACACCATCAGTAGCCTTGCCCTCATGTTCAGCAAGACAAGAAGAAAAAATATACCACAATGCTTCCAATCCTCAAAAATAAATTAAGGGACAAACAGGTAGAGCTCCCTTTACGTAAGTGCCTAACAGGGCATAACTTCTTCGTTCATTCACTCAGCTCCACTGGCACTAACAAGCCCCAGCTTTTAGGGAAGGCTGAGAGATCGATCCTCTTGTCTAGAAACTTCATTTGAATGAGGCCCCATGGAAGTAACCACTAAGGAGCCAACGTGTCTAACTATTACAGAAAGTATTTTAGGAAGGTGGAGAATAGATCAACAGATGTAGAAACTAATAAAACTTACCTTTTCTGTGACTTTTTGCCTAAAAATAGAATAGAAAAATGGCATCAGCAAAAGTTGACAATTTCAATATTTTAAAGGAAGAGGAAAGAGAGACTCCCACCCTCAGTCTGTCTTTTGAAGTGTGCTGTGCATTTGCTGGGTGCACCCGCGTCCAAGCAGACTAGAGGCCCTGGGATAGTGCTTTCACTCAAACAGCGGTCAGTAGGCGGACAAGACACAGTTCCGTCCACAACCAGTGCTGCTTGTGAAGACACATCTAGCCCACGCTGTGTAAGGGTCAGACCCCGTACACCCGTCCACGTGTTTCCCCTTCCCCCACCTGCCGTGCCCCACCCCCCACCTCCGCACGGATTCTTTCCTAGGAAACTTCACTGCTGACCCTGGAGAACACGCATCCTTCCTCCTGCCACCGCCTTGTCTGAGAGAGTCCGCAGGGACGCTGCAGTCCGATCTTGGTGGCAGGAAGGGCACATCTCATCTCAGGGACTTACCGATGCAGTGACTCGCTTGGCCTAATCGGCTGCAAGCCTTGAGTGGCTGCAAGGAAACTCTGAGCCTGACCCGAGAGCCCCTCTTGTATCAAGAGGATGGGACTTTGTGACACACATTTCTGTGTTCCCCCTTCACCCTGGCTCCAACCCAGTTTTGTACGGTACGTTTTGCCCTTCTTTTTCTTACCTTTTAACTAATTTTAACTTGTCATGTTGAAGCATGTTGTAAATTACCTTATTTTTTTTTTTAAAAAGCAGAGAATAAATAAGTAGATGAATGAACTGTAGTGTTGAAATAAAAGCAAAAAAAAAAAAAAAGCTCTTTGAGTAGGAAAAAAATCACGGGGAAGCAATACATTTCGGTGGCTACAAACTGGAGCTCAAGAATCACTCAGTCTGGATGCCAGTCCTACCTGCTGCCACCAGGGTGTCTTTGAAGAACTACTAACCTTCTCTAAGCCACAATTTCTGCCTCCGTGAAAGGGACATGAAATTATGTCTTCCTCATTGCGTGGATTTACAAAACGTACTCAAGGTATTTGTTGCAGAGCCTAAAGCTCAGATAGTGTTTGAGGACTATTTTAAACCTTTAAAATGTTAGAATTTACTATTGTAAACACTTCTTCCAAAACTCAGCCTGCTGATGGCACGGACCAAATACACTTGAGCAGGAAGAGTTAAACCTGAATTAATCTCAGATTTCTGTTTGTGTATTTTCATATATATTTTTCTTTTAGGAATAATGAAATGCATAATAATACATAAGCAAAAATCTGTTCCTACTGAGAGAGTTTCTTTTTTGAAGAAAGGGGAACTAAGGGGCATGTGTACAGTTTCGTGCCCTCTTCTAACCTGTGAGTTGGTTCAGGTGGAAAAGTCTTCCAACCGAGGAAAAAACAGAGAACAGGTTTTCGGGGCACGTCTAGATGGGAGTTTGGTTCTGGTCCTCGCTGATATTCAGGGACTTTAGAGACTGGGCCTCAAACATTATTGGGTCAATTTCCTCATTTACCGAACAGGGCCAGAGAGAATGACTCAGCAGAGAACGGCGCTGCTGCGGAGGAGAGTGTTTCCAGACAGGCCCAGGCTCGGGGAGGCACGTTCCTGCAGCCCGCCCCGCTCCTCCCTCAGAAGGAAGGAGCTCACATCTGGGTTCTGAGACAACTAGGGTAGGGGTTAAAGTGCAGGTTCAAAAGATCCATCCGAGAACAGAGGGACAGAGGACAAGGTTCAGGTCATTTCACTGACTGCGATGCTCTAAAAATTTCCCTGACCCATTTTTCCAGCTTCCTGAGCCCCAAGGGCCTATAAAATTCTCAGAGTCAGTGAGTACTGTCTATAGCCAGATTTATTGTTTTTGACTTTTATTCTCATAAATGCATCAGCTACATTGTGTTCGAAAATCTCTAGGGGTTTAGCCTGGGCGCCTAGCCCATCGTGTCTAACATCGTCTCTATAGGAAAAAAATAATTATCACATTTCAATGGACTTACAACCAGAATTTGGAAGACTTCAAAATTGGAGATATCAGAACAGGTTTCAGAAATGAAGACTACTTGAATGTCATGTCAGAAATAATCTGACTTTCCTACAAAGTCAGTCATCTGTTGGGACCTCTGTTCTCTGGGTTGGCATAACTGTAACTAGTCGAACTGCCTGTTAGCTGTTTCCTGTTTGCCCCATGCTGATTCCCACAGCAGGGGCATACAGGTTTCAAGTTATCAGTTTGAGATCTTGTACAGAAATGACTCCAAGTAAAAAATTGAAAAACAACCCCACTGCTTCTTCTCACCGCATGCTTATAACACAGCCTTAGCCAGTTTTCCATCCCCCACCGCCCCCCACCCCCCCAACTGACTACATGTAACTTCAATTCTGCTCTTTGGATCCTATTAACATTTATTGTAAAAAGTTAGAATGTGGGAGTAAATATGCTCCTTATCGAAGTGTCTCACAGCGCCAAAGTCCTTAAAGTTTATTTAGTTTATAAAGTTTATTTATTACACACCCCTTCCCCAGAGGGTGGTGTGTAATCACCCACGATCCTCCACCCCCTCAGTTCTGCCCACGCCACCTGTAGGAGGAATAACAGGACAGCTGGGGCCATGCTTTGAAGTCTCTTGGAAATGATAATCGGTCGTGAGAGAAAAACCTCCTTCTTTTGCCTTCGTGCAATACTATGTACTTAGTATCGTGTATGAGTAGATGGGATCCAATCTTAGCAGATTTCTCACAGCAGGAGCAGAGATATTTTAACTGTTCCGTGCTCTTATGTGACAGTTACTAAAGTTCTTGCACATCTATGGCGCCCCCTTCGCTGTCTTTCTGGGTTGGTTAGAAAACTGATCTAGCCCCCTTATTCTTAAATTTGGGCTGAAACAGCCCATCCCGGTGAAGGACCGCGAGGAAATCGTGGACACTACTCCCGCAGTCGCCAGTGAGGGTGGGGGCGAGCGGCGCAGCCTCCACACAGCACGTCTGTTGCGCAGACTGTGACGGAAGTGGAGTGAAATGGCGCTCAGGGACGCCAGGGGGAGCTGCACAGAGCCGTTGCTTCGCCGTGGCCTCGAGGTCATCGCTGGCCCTGAACTTGAAGCGGGGATTTGTTAAAAGCTGCCTAATGTGCCTGAACTTCAGAGTCTTGGACGTTTCTGCCAAACACAGCAGCTCGCGCCCACGGTCGGCCTCAGACTTTGGGCCTTGAACTGTTAGGTTGGCCCCACTTTAGGATCTGGACCTGGGGGGCGTGGCGAGGGATACTGTTCTCCCCAGTGGGTTCACCTGCTGCTTAGGGCCGTACCGGCTTCTTGAGGCAGCCGTTTTGTTCTCTTTCCTCCTCCGGTCCAGAGTGGAGGCGAGCCGGGGCACGTGGTGCCTCGTTAGGGCTGCGTCCCTCGTGGACAAACACCAGGGAGAAAACGTGGGGACCCGTCCATGTGGGGAGCCAGACAGGCACGTGTGCCTTGACAAGGTCAAGTATTGGGGAGCAGTGCCCTGAAAATTTCACTGCGCCTTAGATTCATTTCCTAGAAGAATCGCAGCACCGAAATCAAAGGCACATGGGCCCTTCGAGGACAGAGCTTGTGCATCCTTTTTTTCAGAATTAAATAAGAGCAAAGGACCATTTGTGTGTTATCACCCTGGCAAGGTGCTTTGAAGATAGCAGGCTTTTTTTTTTTTTCCAGTTTGTTGGATGAAAAACAAAAAAGCAGCCAAGATGTTTCAATGCAAGTGGATCCCCTCCTGCCTTGCCCATCTCCCGGGCCGGACGCCCACAGAACGCGGAGCAGGGTCTCCTACCTCATCGCCTGTGCGCTTCTACTGTTTTCTCTTTACACGTTCATTATTTCATAGGAAGGTAAACTCACGTACCTTTCTTCAGCCGCCTTGCCAGCCAAATGATAAATGCCACCCCCAAGAAGGCAGTCACCATGACCGACACTGGGATGAAGAGGGGGTTGTAGTCGCCCTCCTTGATCATCGAGAAGCTCCTGTCCAGCTCTGAAAGAGAAATCGGGGCAGCGCACCGCATGAAGCCGCGAGCCCTGGCTCTCCAAGGCCCTTTCGTGGCGTTAGATGGCTTCCCTCCCTCCATCTCCCAGCAAGAGCCCATTTGGTGCATCTGACAGGAGGGAGCTGGCCCAGAAGGCCCATGGCGAGTCCGCAGCAGAGGCAAAGGCCGGGCCAGCTTTGCCAGTCCAGCGCCTATGGGGTCTCAGTACCCAGATCTGCAATTTGTGGACTCCTGGGAGACGAACCTAAAGATGTCATCAAGCAATGCTGAACCCCATGGCCGTGTGCGGCAGCGAGGAGTCTAAACCCCAGGGAAGAGCCAGGGAGTCAACAGGACTGCAGGAGAGAGCAAAGCCGGCCCCCAGCACCGGGCACCTCGGCAGCCGCAGGATGCTAGCCATGCTGTCACTGCAAAGCAGCGGGGTGCACTTCTACGCGGTGGTCCCCGTGCCTGCGGCCTGCCTGACCTGCCTGTTACAGGGCCCGGCCCTCCTGCCCCGCCCCGCCCCGCCCCTCCTTCAAAGGCGCACAGAGGGACACCCCAAATCTCCTCAGGAGGGTGAGCCAAGCGCATGTGGGAGCTGTTATTGGAAAAATACCGACATGTGCAGTCTTTAATCTGACAGCACCCATTAAAGGGACTTCCTCTTGCATGTCGCACAGAGTCTGAGAGCATCCCTTGCTCTTCGCAGTGCTTTGGGGAGCCTTTCAAGGTGCCTGCCTCTCCACACCCAACTATGTAGTAGAAGAAAGAGAGGCTCAAGGTCCTAGAGGGTCCGAACAAGGGGGTGCCTGTTGGCTGCATGGGGGTGAGGACATGGACACTAGCCCAGCCTCAGAAGGAAAGGTCCCATAGCCCGACCTTCAGTTCTCCCCTGAGGACCCTGCCCTCCTCCCTGACCCCCTGCCCCTCTCCCCAGCCTGGGCCCCACAGAGACCAGCTTCTCTGACAGCTTCCACAGGTCCTACCACTCACAGATGGTTTGTCACCTGTGCAAGTGGCCTCAGGAGAAGACCTGGGTGGCTAATTCCATGCGCATTTATTGAGCACCCGTTGCCAGGCACTGTCGGGGGAGGATTCAGAGAAACAGGGGAGACATAGCCCTTAGGCACAGACAGAGTTGGGATGCTTTGGCTTAATGATCATTGAAAAGTATCCACTACTTTTGGAATTATGTAGCTATCGGTGGCCTTTGTAGTGGCATTTTAATGGACTAACAGAGAAGTGAACTTGTACTGGAATAGAAGAGTGGATAAGAAGTCAGTAGAGACAGGAATTTTAGATGTTAGGGATTAAGATAGGAGGAGCTGAGAATGGGCTGGAAAAAAAAGAAAAGAAAAGGCTGTCATTGGAGGAAGAAGGAAGAATAATCAAGGGTCATATAGAAAATTAATATGTACAAATTTATTTTTAAAAGACATCAGTTAGCAAAATGAAATATAAATGTTCAGTGTATCTTTCCCCACCATCTGCTCCATCTTTAAAGCCTTCAGCATATTGGGGCAAACTGACTCACTTTGACATATGGGAGTGGGGCTTGACCAGGTTCCAGATGATCCACAAACAGTTTTCTCCTCTCCGATTAACTCAGTCCCTTCTGAGCAGCTGAAGGTGCACGTGGAGTTAAAGCTGAAGCTGTCCAGGGGGTGGCTACAGTCCATGGTGCCCAAGTCAGGCACCGCCAGAGGCTTACACTGAATCACTTCAGTGGAAAAGAAAAAGAAAAACAAACCACTGAGCAGAGGCCCTCCCTTGACCCAAGGTTTGTGGCCAAACTACCTGACTCAGCTGCGGAACCCTGCACAGGACTCAAGGCAGTCCTGACCTAGAAACTGCTCCTGGGGACGCTTCCAGGCTTTCGTTTCTGAAAATGATGTGCGGTGGTGAGTCCGGGGTGAAGCCAGGGGCGCTGAGAACCTTTCGGGGTGAGGAGTGGGCAGGGGGGTTGGTCCTCCCAGGTGTCACCCTACCACTCTGCTGGAGGTGCCCTGCTCCCTGGCCTTTGCCTCCCGGGCTCTTATGGAACCTTCTCGGGGAGAGCAGAGAATTTCTTCCCTTTCTCCCCTTCTGAAGTCTACCCCAGCAAGTTTGAGAAATGGCCCGATCCCCTGAAGCGAGTCCCTTAACCTCTGTAAAATTCAGCACGTTGCTCTGTTTAGTGCTGTGATTTCACTAAATGGTTGTGATAGTTATTTTGAGAATTAAACCACTTAAACTAGTGAGTCAGAAGCATAAATGTGGAAAATGTAACCAAAACTTCACACATTCAGACACCACCGGTTTTCTTCTGCAGAGGGATAATCTTAGTTAAAAAGAAAACGGCTACCATACTTCAAATAGAAAAAAAACAACGACAAGACATCGTGTGTTGTTTTCACAGTGGTTGTTACTCTCCTGAGAGTTCATGGAGGAGAAAAAGTGAAAAAATGATTTCAAGAATAAACAAATAAATAATGAGAAAAAGACCTCTATCCTCCAAGAAGGAAATTGGTTGGCGTTAAGTAGGACACCACATAAAACAAGTGTTATTGAGAGGAGAGAATAACCAAAACTTAACCGAAGCTCCGCAAGACCGATTATTTATGCCACGGCGATGGGAAGGGTGGGGGGCGGTGAGTCGGGGCGAAGCCAGGGCACACCTGGAAAACATGCTGTGTGACCACACCTGCTGCTGACAATGACTCACTGTGAGACTGTGAAATGGCTTCAGAAGTATCTGGTTGTTACTTTTTGTTTGCAGGTTTTCTTTTTTAATTGCAGTAATAATTCCCTCTCTGAAAATCATCACAGGACGGTCTAAGCTTCAACTCTGCTCCCACCGAGGACACAGGCTCCTCAGCGAGGCCCTCCCACGTCCCCCATCCATAGACTCAGGACTGCCGTCACCGCGCCGCCTGGCGGGGTGCCCACTCACCGTGACAGGACGGTTCTAGCGATGACCAGTTTCCAGATGGCCCACACGTGGTCTCCTCGCTCCCAACGAGGTCTGCTCCCTCAGAGCAACTGAAGGCACACTGTGAGCTGTAGCTGAAGTTTCCCAGAGGGTGATCACAGGCCATGGTCCCCAGCTCTGGAGCCTCCAAAGGCTCACACTGAATCACTTCAGTAAGAAAAGGAACAACATTGGGTGCTGTTAAGAGGGCCTGGTGACCGGGGCCGCATCCGAGTGTGGCTGTGTGATGACCCAGCGCCTTTAACCCCTGCAGCTTCGGTTCCTTCAACTTTAAGAAAGGAGTAATGCCAACTGCTTCACCCTCCCAGAGTCGGCATGGGAATTAGAGGATTCAGAGCAAGTCGAGGACTTAGTACAGAGCCTGGCGCATCGGAAGTCTTCATTAGACATTAGCTACTCTCCTAGTTCTCTTTGGCATTATCTGGGGAGAGAATTTTTAAATCTAGGTAGGTTTAAGTGGGAATGACCAGCTCCATTTGGAAATTACCGAGTATATCAGAGCGTTGGGGGAAGGAGGTTTGGAGGAAGAGTGGGTGCCCGTAGTTAACTTTCTTTACAGGGGGACAGATAAAAGCTTTAGGAAGCACGTCAGCCTTGAGTCTGCCTTCACCCTCCCTAGCTCTGCTCCAGAGTTTTGGCTCTTCTGATGTTGGCAGCCCTCTGCAGAGGCTGCGCCTGTGTCCCTGCCCTGAGTGGCAGTGTGGCGGGTCACATGAAGACTTGAGACTCAGCCTCTGCACTGTGGGCCCTGCCATGCCATTTGGGCAAATATTGCAACTCTCACATCTTATGTCATTCAATTTGAGCCATTTTTGTGATCTTGATCTTGAGATTTCAATAAAGAATGGATCCGGAAGACAGTTTTTACATTTTTCGTGTACATCCCAAGTCCAAATCGGAGTTAATGGCTGGAAACAGGTTGTCAATCCAAAGCTCACATAGATTTGTGAGCTCACAAAAGGTGGCAAATTTGACCAAAGGAAGTATAGAGAGTCCAAAGAGCAAAGAAACAAAGATAGAAGGTGGAACTAATAATAGTGTCCAGGTGTGGATTAGTGCCCAAAAAGGAAACTGAAGAGAAATGACCACAGGCAGAAAGAAAACCTGGGAACAGATATGATGGAAGCCAAGGCAAAAAAAAAAAAAAAAAAAAGGGGGGGGAAAAAAGATTGAAATGTTCAACAAAGGGTAGAATGGACATGCCAGTGATACAAAAATTAAAAAAACACAGCTTTGAAACAGAATGAGGGTGGAGTTTTGGGGAGGAGCCATGGCTCCGCGCTTGAATGAAATGCTCGGTCCCGCTTGGTTGACATTTACATGTACTTCAGCTTTAATTCTTTATGTTTTCTTTACAAACATTGCTTTTTCTCCCTCCTTGTCATTTTCTATGTCACGCACCAGGTACTTCAAACATAGTTTTGAAACTCAATCAGTATCAAAGGACTTGACGCGTCTTTCAGTAGTGAGTTGAGTGGGTCAAAGACTCGCTGCCTTTCAATCTGTGCATTCTTGCCTTTCTGTTTCTACCTCTGCAACGGGGAGGGGTTTCCATAGACTCCTAAGGACTCTCCCCATCTCCTCTCTTTTTACTGTCCAGTCTGCCTCATGCACTGCTTCCAGGGCAATTGCCCTAAATGCAGGTATTAAAAACTAAGTAGCAGGGAAAAAAAAAAAACAAACCCTCATACACATGGACAACGGTATAGGGGTTACCAGGACAACAGGGGTGGGAGAGGTAGGAGAGAGTAAAGGGGGATAAATGGATAAATGGTGATGGAAGGAGGCTTGACTCAGGGTGGGGAACACACAGTACTATGTACAGATGTTGTGTTGTAGAATCGCACACCTGAAACCTGTATCACTTTATGAACCAATGTCACCCAATAAATTCAATGGAAAAAGATACTAAGTTGCCTCCCATTGTCAAACAAGGCCATCTTGCTTCAGGAAGCAACTTCCAGTTTCTGCAAGCCTCCCCCGGCTTGCCTTGCTTTCCATCAAAGCAAATTGTGAGCATATATAATTTCCACTACTTAACTGTAAACCCTTTAAAAGCAGAATCTCTCATAGATTTGCCTTTATAGCTTCTGAAATGCCCAGCCCAAATAAGTATGTTGGATTTCTTATTATATATCTCTGGCCTATAGGTACCGTAGAGCATTATGTGAACTTTTCTTTGTGGCCTTGCCCTGTCATGACTTGGGAGAACATGGCGCTCGCCGTTCTGAGAAATGAGCAGCTTTCATCAGAAGGCTGCGCTTGCACAATGCTGGTTCCTTTCTGTCAAGGTTTCGTAAGTCAGGATGGAGTTTCAATTCCCTTCTGCACACATCTTTCCGAGTGCCGCGAAGAACAGAGCCGTAAGGGTGACGGCCATGACTCAGGCGCGGCGGGGTCCCGCTCTCACGGGCTCGCACTCTGGGGAGATGGGTGGACTTGTTAGCACTCTAACGCTGGGAGGAAACTAAGCCATTGACAGTTAGGAGGCGCGTTCGAAACTCCATCCTGACCTAACGAAACCTTTACAGAAAGGTACCAACATTGTGCAAGCGCAGCCTTCTGATGAAAGCTGCGCATTTCTCAGAACGGCGAGCGTCATGTTGTCCCAACTCACCTCCACCGGCAGCAATCACCCCGTAACTTCACACAGGAAGAAGCCAAGATGAGTAAGGAAGGGGCTTACCAAACTGGCACTGGGGCCCGTAGAACCCCACGTCACAGGCGCAGGTGTGGTTATTGATGGTTTCCACGCACTCACCATGGCCGCTGCATGACCAGGGCTGACAGGAAGCTGTGCGGGGATCAGAAAGACAGTATTTCAATGTGGCTACTTTTTAGTCCTCATGGTCTTTTTTTTGAAACATAGACAACTTTTTTGGGCTGAGATTATTTTTATAAACAGGGAACCTTTGTTTGTATAGTCATAGTACCTTTGCAGGAAAACCATACACTACAATGTTATTAATGAAATATACTGGCCATATAGCCATGGATGTGTGGTTTTATCGACCCTCATACTCTCTCACGCTTGGGGGAAACAGTGACATATGTTGAAACTCTTGAAATCACTTTGTTTTTAATGTCATAAGCAGCTTAAATGGTGGCCCGGCGCCGATCATTTCTGCAGCCAGATTGCTTGGCAACCCCTCTCTTCATAGAAAGAACTATAGAAACATTAGAAAGTCTAAATTTTCCAAATTAGTAGAGAGTCTAATTTACCAGGTACCCAATGAACTATGTCTCACTGTTAAAATAGGCCTCGGGAATGCCTGGGCTGTTTGGAGCTGCTGCGGTGGTCTCTGTGGAAATCTTGTGTACCGCCGATGATGAAACACCACCGCATCACATTATATAGGATTCCAGGACAAGGCCCTGCAGGAAGCCTGACCCCAACCCCCTTCCTCAAGAGGAGGGCACCGAAGTGATGTGAACCTGAGCCCCCTGCGCTTCCTGCCTCATTAGCAGGGACGCTGCCAGGGGTGGCCAACCTTTGGGCGTCTCTGGGCCACACTGGAGGAAGGAGAGTTGTCTTGGGCCACACAGTAAAAACACTGCAACATGTAATCACACACGCACACACACATGTCAATCTTTTCAGTAAATGTACGATTCTGTGTTGGACCGCGTTCACAGCCATCCCGGGCTGCACGCGGCCCGCGGGCCGCAGGTCGGAGGCCCCGGGCACACCTTCCTCCTTGGACGTGGAGCATCCTGATGTAAACTGATTTAGGGTATGGCTGGGGGGTGTTGGGACCAGCCTCACACGCCACAAATGCTCAGCAGAGGCGGGTCCGAGCTGGCGTGGAGGACGGGGCTGATGCTGGAATGCCCGGCAGTGGCGGGGGGCGGGGGGAGATTGGGGGGTGCTGGGCCCGCTCTGCGGCGTCCGCACAGCGGTCCCGAGCCGCTCCTCGCTCCGGCCTCCCTACCTGTGTAACAGAGCGCCGCCTTCGGCTTGTGGCAGGCGTCGTCGTTCCATTTCCCCGCGTCCCTGTCCCTCTTGATGTAGATCTCCACGCAGTCCTCTTTTGTCTTCTTGTTGTTGGGCTCCCCGTCACCCCAGTTCTCGGCTTCTGCTGTCAGGGTCTTGTTGGTTCCCACCCACGTCCACACCCCTCTGACCTTCCGGATGCCTATCCAGTAGTAAGTGCGACTGAAGGGAAGCGTCTTGTTCAGGTACTCAATTTCCCCCTTGTTTTGTATGGCAACTAGGTCGGTGTAATTTTGTTGGCAGAACTTTCTAGCGTTTGCCCAGTTCATGGGTTTTTGAGAATGATGGTAGGTCCAGCAGTCCGTCCCATGATACGCAGAGAAACCTGAAAGACATCAGCGTGATCGATCCGCGGTTATGGTTGAAAACACCCTAAAACCCGCCCAGGCTGAGCGATGAGGAAACTAACACCGTGCGGGTCCAGGCTGCCACCTGGGCGTCATGGAATTAGTCACTTGCAGGTTAGAGACAGAAGCTGCACCTTCTTGCCCTCACCATGTTTTCGCCAGAGCACAAAAGACCTTTGCATGCAGCTCTATTTTAGACAAATGTGTGGCATGCAAGGTTCATTCTCATGAAATAATTTTTTTCTCAAAACTCCCTCGAGTGACCTTTAGCCAACATATTTTAGAAATTCCTATTTCTTTATCTTAGTAGCTGTCAATCACTTAAAATTAATTTAAGTATAACGTCATATGTCTCTAAGGTTTCCTGTCTACTTTCCCCCCCCCCCCGTGGGATACTTTCCCAAAGGCCAGCATTTATGTTTCTAAGAGAGAAGTAAAATAAGGACAGGAATGATGACATACTATTAAGAGGTCCCCAAAAAGGGTACTAAGTGCCAGAGGAAGAACTGCTTGTAGGAAGGGCCTCCCCGAGCCTTAGATAGCTAACTACGTAATAACAACAGGAACGGTTCATGAAACCAAATGATGCAGGATATGAAATTTATTTAGATCATGTTATGCACACAGAGATACTCAGCAGATGGTGTTTAGTCATCGCATGGGTGCTTCAAACATGAGGGCTTTGAAGAAACCAAAACAAACACATAATTCACAGTAACCTTGTAATAATGTACATCCTTCTGAGCTTGGTGAATCCATGTAAAACACTCATCCACTGTAAGGTAAAAGTTTTCACATCAACATTTATTAAGCTTTCACTGTGTAGGGCAAAGAAAACAGATCCAATGTTACTGTCTCCTAAAGATTCTAAACAAGGAATCACAGGTGCAAAGAAAGCATAATCAATCTTCATCAAATTAAACTTATCAGAAATGACACCGATAGGATTCATGAGTAAAGAATGTCACAAAGTGAGCATTTGGACCAGAGTTTTAAAGGAGCATTCTAGAAAAAGCAAATGCTAGAGGAAGAAACTGTTTTTGCTCACGGCTGTAACCTCAGGACCCGGACCAGCGCTGGGCACGTGGCAAGGACTTACTAGGGTACCAGGTGTCCTGAGGCAGACCTGGTGCAAGGAAGGTGACAGGGGCAGAGGAAAGCACGCTTGTTGGCCAAAGCCGGAGGAAGAGGACATGAGCTGACTCAGGACATGGGGAAGAAAGGGCAAAACAGTGGCTGAAGAGTCTTCAAGAATCAGACACAGAACTTGACACATCAAGGGGAGAAGGACCCGAAAATAGGGGAAGAGCCTGACCGCACGGAGCTCATGCTTCAATTGTAGAAATGACGTTGATGTCCACTGGACTGTTGATGAGGGTAGAAAGCACGTGCTACATATTTTGTATCGATTATAAGGTCCCTATCAGAGATTTCTTCATTGGCCTTATTCCTTTATAAGTAAGATCCTTGTGGGTTTTTCAGAATTTGGACCCTGCAGCAAAGGAAGGGTGTGGCAGGCGCCGGCGGTGTCTGGGGACAGACTAAACGTGAGAGGAAGGAGAGAGACCTGCACAGGAGGGGTGAAATTAACAGCTATCTACCTGGTGCTCTTCCCGGCACACCCAGTGGATATTTAGGAAAAATGAACAAGTTTTTTTAAAAAATAAAAAGGCTTAGCAATATAAACATAGCAGAACGTACCGCAACAGAGCACTGCCCACACCCACGACTTGAAGACCCTCTGAGCCCTCTGATGAGTCCGTGGAAATATCTGCAAATAGAACACAAGGTCTATACTCTTAAATCTCACATTTACAGCCCCTTGAGGAGGCTCCTGCAAATTGTCCTGAAGTTCAAAACGAAACACATGTGCCTACTAAACCTGGCCAAAGTAATTGACTTCTCAGAAATGGATAAAGAGTAGCAAGAAATTTGCCTCAAAACTGAGTCCTGGCCTCTTTTATTCTCACATATTAACCTCAAGTTGCTGATTGCTGCCACTCTGATTTTTTTCCCCTGTTTCAGCAATGTTTTCTTTTTGGTGGCTGTTAGATGACACTATCCCATACTTGGTATACACTATTTTGAAGTGTTTCTTAGTACTTAATGAACTATTGATGTCTAGATTCAATGTCAAAACCTCCCACTTGATTATGATGGGTTAATGCTTCAGATACCTAAATGAAGTAGATAGTCAAACAGATAGCAGCACGGAAAAGCAGTTCAGTTTGTTCAACTAAAAAGAGACGCATTTTGACCGACTCAGAGGGCAAGTCCCCAGGTTTTCTGCACACCTGAAAGCCTGTCTTCTGAGGTGTATCCCTTCTCAGGGAGCCACCGTGCTAGGGCGCAAAGTGCTCATTTCAACCAAACAGCCTTCCAAGAACCGTGCCGGAGGCAGGTCAGGGAGAAGACTCAGAACTTCTGAGACGCGCGGCCTTTAAGAGCACTCGGCAACTCTAGCACTTGGCTCTTTTAAAACCCAAAATGAAATGCGTTGCTTCTTGTCCTTTGCCACCCGCTTCTGCAACCCCAAGAAGAGCACCTGAGCATCTGAGAGCCTCTGAGGCTGAAAGCTCACCATGGCTTCGCGTGGCCCTCGTCCGGCTCCCCCGTGGCCTCCCCTCTCAGCTGGGCTGCGGGGCTCCAGGTCCTGGCCCAGGGCTAGGCAGGCTGCCGCAGAGAGATCTTGCACAGTGTCACCGGGGCACTTGCCACCTTTCAGTGCTCTGCTCACACCCTCCTCCCCACTTCCCCCACCCCTTCTAGTGCCTCTTTCCTCACTCCTTCCCCAGCCTGCCCTCTGTCACCGCCCCTGAGAAGAGAAGAGCTGCAGACCAAGGGTATTGTTGTTAGGGTCTCCCTTTCCTCTTCTCTTCCTTCTCTCTTTCCATCCTTCTTCCCTCCTTTCCTTCCTTTCCTCCTCCTCCTCCTTCCCTCTCATACTCCCTCCACCCCTTCCTTTCCCCCCTTTCCCTCTCTCCCCACATCTATCTGCCTCTCCCCTTTCTTTTTGTATAAACACGAGTCTAACTCTTGGCTCCTGGTAATTGCAAACATCACACAATCAAAAAGTGTCTCGGACAAATTTGTGATGTCTGTTCATCAACTTCAGTCCAGCTGCCCCAGTGACTTGGTTCATTTCAGTTCTTTCTCCTTGCTCACCCCCTAGTGGAAATCCTTGGGAATGGCACCTCCTAAAGCTAAGCCCTGAACGGAGCACAGCCGCTCCAGCTTTTTGCCCGAGGAGTCTGGGGCCCTACAAATATCTTCGTAGGCATTTCCAGAGAGTATAGTGAGAAGGACAGAGCGTGCACTTGAAATCAGGACCTCTGTGATGGAGGGCAGTGGAAAGGGGGAGTCTCTGACATAATCAGATTTGCATTTTTCAAAGAAATAACAATGATAATAGCTGTAGAGCTCAACATTCCATTTTTATTACCTTCTTTTCTCTGTATAAAGATTAACCACAATACTCTTCAGTAGGCACTATTAACGTCCTCATTTTCAAAAGTCTCAGAAAGGGCCCTGGCCAGTGTGGCTTAGTTCGTTAGAGCATCGTCCCATAAACCGAAAAGTGGCAGGTTTGATCCCCAGTCAGGACACAGGACTAGGTTGCAGGCTCAGTCCCCAGTGGGGCACATAGGAGAGACAACCGATCCATGTTTCTCTTTCACACTGATGTTTTTCTCCGTTCCCTTCTCTCTAAAAAAAATCAACAACATGTCCTCGGGTAAGAATTGGAAAAAAAAGTCCCAGAAAGGTTAAGAAAGTTGTCTTGGTCACATGGCCGCCGAGAGGCGCAGTTTTCTCTATTCTAACTAAAGCCTGTCAATTCTAACTAAGCGCGTGCTCTCTGGCACTGAGCCTCGCTTCTCCTGGAAGGAGCTCAGGAGACCTGGTGGAAGAGAGACAAACCTGGAGCCGAGGGGACCCCGAAGTGCCCTCGTCCTGCCCAGCCCCAAGAGGAACGCAGAGGCTGCATTCCTGAGTCCTGCCCTCCCGTTCTCCGCCTGCCCTTGTCCGGCCAGTGTGCAGCCGCACCGGTCCCCCAAGGCCGCTCTCGCCGGGGTCCTGCGCCGCACTGAAGCCAGCCGGCATCCGAGTCTCCGCCCTCATCTTGTTTGGCCCATCCGCTCCTGGCTTTCCTCCCACCTCACTGACTCTTGTTCTCAGTCTTACTGGTCAGTCCTCCCTCAGCTCTCCAACGACCTAACATTTGGAGCGGTCGCTGCCCACCCCGTTCACCCTCACTGACTGGGTGACCCCACCCCGTCTCTGAGCCTGGAATGCCATCGAAGTGCTGATGGCTTCCAAATTGGTATTCCAGCCAGGATGACTCGTCTGCCCTGGGAGTGGCCCCTGCCCGCAGCCAAAGGCTGACCCGGTGTCTCCGTTTAGTTGTTTAACATGCCTCTTCCACGGCACATGTACCAAACTGAACTTTCCCATCTAAGGAAGTTACAGCTCATCCCTCCAGTTCCTTATGCCAACGCTCAATAAGAAATATAGCTTCCGCCTTGAAAGTTTAGCATTCCTCTCTCATGATTCTAAGCCAAGAGAAATTGAAATATCTTTCTACTCACACACGTGCGTGCGCGTGTGCACACACACATATAGTCATGCTGTTGGTTTTTAAAATCATTCTACTGCAAAAGGCACATGTAGCAGTAAGAAGCGGGGCGCGGGGGGGGGGGGGGGATAAAATCACAGCAGAGTTTTGGCTGTAGCCAGGGAGACTTGTTTTCTTCTTCACATCCTCCCAGTGGTGCCCGATCCTATCCACAGTTCTTCCAAAAATTGTGTTTTGTCCCAACTGGCAGGCCCGTCACCAGCGCTGGTGACAGAATCGAATGCCGTAGGCGCGTCAGCCTCCAGGTTCTCGATCTGCTGTTGGGATGGCCTGCGGCTCCCAGTCACTTCTCAGCCCACAAGCCATTCAAATCTAGCCTCGCGCCGCGCCGCGCCCGCTTCGGGCCCTGCACCCTGAAGCCCACGGGGAAGAGCTGTTTCTGCTCACGGCGGTGCCTCTGCACACACCGGCCTCTTGCGCCGGAGCCGGGAGCTCCCCGTGGACAAGGCCGCCCCTCACGCTCTCACAGCCTGTTTATCTTCCTTCCTTTAACTGTAATGAAATAATTATTTCTCTAAGTGCTTGTTCAGTATCTGTCTTCCCCACTAGATTCTAAATTCCTCCGCGGTGGGCATAAATCACCTGGCTCATCGCTGTATTCCTAGAATGAAGCATATTCTGGACGCATGGTAGACACTGAAGGGAGACGTGTGGAATGGCTAAATAAGCGAGGGAACGCATGCGGAGGTGAGCCCCTCCTACGAAGCGGGTCCACGTTGCCCAAACGGAGCGAGTCATCTCGGAAGGCGCCCATCCAGCCTCGGAGACAAGCTCCGAGTGGAGCAGCGCGGAAAAGAATGGGGGTGGAGAAGGCCGAGGGGGTGGTTACGGGTAAAGGGACCGGCGGTTCAAACAGTAGGATTAGCAACAGTCGCAATGAGATACTTGAGCAATAAACCTACAAGGATAGGAGGCTGTGGTTCAAGAGTGGGATGTTTGTATGTGCTTCTCGACTGATGTTGGTTCGGCGACGGCAGGGTGGGGGCTGTGTCCAGGGCGGGAGGCGGCCAGCCGAGTGGCGGGGGACGCTGCAGCTGGGGCGCTGGGCGTGCGCACCGATGGGGGGCGCTGTGGGCCCGACCTGCGACACCACATGGGGCGCCTGGGGGTGAGGGCAAGCGGAAGCTGGTGCCCAGGCGGCCGGGGCTCGGGGGCTGGAGGTCACCTCAATGGGCACCGTGAGAAGAGGGTGCATCTCGGGGTCACAAGCCGCAGAGACACAGCGTCGCTGTATTTCTTCCCTCTCGTTATTTAACAAAGATCAGCAAGAGAAATTCCTCACGAAGGAATTTTGAAACCAACTCCGCCCCGCACCCGAGGCCTGGGCAGGAGAGGACAGACGCGCTCCCCTTGCGAGGCCTGCGGAGTGGGGGAGGCGGGGGACGTCGCGCGCTCCGGCCAGGCTGCTGTCCACCCAGGACGGAGAGAGAGGGCGGTGGAGAGGACCCGGGGGGCACAGGGTTTCGCGGGTTGTGGAGCAGGAATTCCAGAGGGTGGCGAGGGAGAACCTGGGAAGGAAGGCGAGACGTAAGGGGGGTGAGCGGTCCCGGCGGTGACAGGGCGCGGAGAGGGGCTGCAGTCCCGGGATGAGGGGCGACCCCGTGGGCTGGGTCTTGCTGCGGTCACGGAGGCAGGTGGGCGTTGAGGGCTACCTCTGGTGGGGATAGATTTCTGTTTTCTCCCTTGAAAGCTAATCTGCTAGCACCAAGAATTGTTCCCCTTCTCACTTCTACGCTACCACTTGCCCGTCCCCGCTGCGCTCGGGCCTCCGCATTCCTTCTGAGTGCACCGCCTGTGTACGGTTCGCGCCCCCGGCTGGAGACCCGGGAGAGCCAACCAGCCCGCGCTCTCTGCACTTGGAGCTGGTATCTCAAGCGTGTGGCCGTTTCAGTCCCACAAGAAAGCAGATCGAACCTGCAGAATCTGTCCTTGTTTTTTCACCTGTTTCTTGAAGGTTCTCGTAAGCAATACTTTTGAGTAAAGGTGAAGTACAAAATCAAAGTGAAACCAACTGTAGTGGAAGTGCAAAAACCACAATTTTTTTTTTATCCTGGATAACCATGCCAAAAATAAAACCATGTTTTCTTAGATATTTCAGATACGTTGATTCTTTGACAGCTGCGAGATTCTCGCGGCGGTTTTTAGCTTGGACTCTCTGGGCCTCCTGGATGGACACTGTTTCCGCACGGGAGTGGCAAACGACAACAAAAACCCAAAACAAAACAAAGAAACCCTACTCGGGCTCTCATCCTGGAGAAGCATGGAGTCTGAAGAGTAAATGAAGGGAAATGGTTTAACGTGAGCATCTTGAGGACTGAGATGAGCACGGGGCAAAACCTCCAGGAAAAGCGCTTTGTTTCATTGATCTCAATGATTTTTTAAAGATTATTCATATTTGTCAGACAACCGTGCAGCATCGACGCAGAGGCCTGCAGGGTGGTGGTTATCAAAACCACAGGCAGTTACAGCGAGTTTGGGCAGAACACAGCGACCCTCGGGCGTTGCTGGTTGGGGGGCAGATGGAGCAGCCCTTTTGGAAAGCAGCTTGGCTACCCCTCAAAAAACGAAACACGGAGAGCCTTGGCCAGGCGGCTCATCTGGTCAGAGCGTCATCCCTATAGGCGAGGGTTGTGGATTTGATCCCCGGTCAGGGCACATCCAGGAGTCAACTAATGAATGCATGAGTACGTGGGACAACAAATCAATGTTTCTCTCTAAAAAAAAAAATCAATGAAAATTTTTAAATGAAACATGGAGTTACCATATGACCCGAAAATTGCGCTTCTCAGTATGCGCCTGAGAGAATTGAAAATATAAGTCTTTTCAAAGACTTGCACAAGAAGTTTGGGGAAGGGACTGGTCAAAGAACGTGTATGAATGACCCAGGGCCATGCACCATGGTGTGGAAAGGACCATGGGAGTGGGGGGCAGGCTGGGCAGAGAAGGGTGAAGGGAGGAAAACTGGGGCAACTCTGATATAATTACAATAGAAAATGTTTAAAAAGTTCATAGCAGCATTATTCACAATGGCCAAAATGCAGAAACAACCCAGCGTTCATCAACTGATGAGTGGGAAAAGAAAATGTGGCGTAGACGTACAATAGAGTGTTGCTGAGCCATAAAAAGAAATGAAGTATGGATACGTGCTACAAAGTGAATTAACCTTGAACCCATTATCCTGAGGGAAAGAGGCCAGACGCAAAAGGCTGCGTATTATGTGACTCCGCTTTTGTGTCCGGAATAGGCAAATCCATAGACGCGAAAAGTCGATTCCTGATTGCGAGGGGCGTGGGAGGGAAGATGAAGAGCGGCCACGAGCGGGCACTGGGTTGCTCCCGGGGGTGAGAGACGCGTTCCGGAGTCACACAGGGGCGATGGTGGCGGAATCTTGTGAATATACCCAAAACGATGGATTGTACGTGGAAAAAGGACAAGTCCATTGGTATGTGAGTTTTGTCTAAATAAAATAGGATTTTTAAGAAAGAACTCATACGCCCAGATAACTATAAACATGTTTATTATCAAACTTTATAATGCCATGCCAAGTACAATAAGTATGACGTAAGTTCAAATAAATACATACTTTAAAAATTATAAAATATTTTAAATCATAATTTAAAAATACTTCATGAAACCCAAACGTGGACACATGTATATTTCACACAGCTATTTCCAATTCAGTAATACAAATATTTACATTTGAACAACTTCAGATAAAATGATCATTATTTCATCTGTAGCCTGATTGCAGAGTTGCTTTTTACCCCCTCTCCCTTATTTCCCAGAGTCCTTTGCCCTTACAAATCTCTGCTGCCCTGATTCTCAGCACCTCTGGCTTTGCCCTTGCCAACATGCGTCGGGGCTTCCCTGGACCTTCGCTTCCACCGCGCACAGTAGGGGGGCGGGAGTGCGGACGGGCTGTGACCCCAACACCCTGTGAGGCTGCCGGATTGATGTGGCAATTACTGACTGCTCACATCTCGTTGCCAGAGATCGATAACTGGATTCTTTAGGGATTTTAAACTCCCTTCTGAATAAACGTGAATACTTGTTCACACAGGCTTCCCTCTCTTCAGGACCAGCCTAACAAGCAGGAACAACAATTAGGAAATAATTCTTAGGCATCTTCACTTTGCAAAAATGCACTAGGTGAATCCTGTACATGGTGCGTTCTTATCATGGGTTTAAAACCTTGTGTACTATTCAAGAATTGTATATCATCACATCACATCTGATAAGCACCTTTTTTGGAATGCAAAGCACATCCACGTTCCTGCATGCTTTTTTTTTTCAACAAAGACATTTACAAAAATGTACCTTCATTTATTTACATTTATGTTTTTATCAAATCAGAACATTTGGCCTCATCCAAGTATTTCATCATAGAAACCAGGTATTTCTGAAAAAATACCAGACAAGGCACATGGGCCTGCCACTTAGCTCCCACTCTCCTCACGCTACTCCTGTTTTTAAAAGAAGCTGTAACAAAAAAATTCACAACGTTACACTGGTTAATGTTCTAGAAATACATTGTTAGGGGACAGTACTTGCCCTTTTCTGAAATATATTCACTACAGATGTAATGTTAGAATTTGTTAATAGAGAGGTGGTGATCTAGGATAAGTAACTATTACCTGGTCAGAGCGCTAACTTTTACATGTGTTGAAGTCCCTACAACACTTGCACTGAATGAAGAATCATGGAGTACATACCCAGTGCAAGTCCAAAGAAAACCATCTCTATGAGTCCTTAAAAAAGCCCTGAATCCCGCAGGGATAAAAGTGATATATCGGTTTTGTTTAGCGATCCTCACACAGGAGTGTCCAGTAGGATTTGCACAACAAGAACAAAAAAGTGTCATTCTTTTTCAAGGCAGTAACACAGTATTTTTGGCCAAGAGCCCCTTGGTAATCAGGAGTTTAAGCACTGCGAGGAACTGAGGGAAGAAACGGCGTCACCCAATGCTGGGCTTCTCCGGGATTTCAGCATGCGCCTGGCAGAGCTAGAGGGGAGGTTCGGAGGCTCCAGCGCTGCGGCCGCCTCGCTTTTGCCTGCAGGGAATACCCCTCCCTCCAGCAGCCAGAGCTCTCCAGATCCCGAGAACAGGAGGAAGAAAACCGAGTCTTCCCGGCGGCAGGCTGGCCTTGCCCGCTGGACGGTGGCCCTTTGCAGTTCTCATGGATGCTGTGGCCTCAGCTGCCATAGGTGGGGAAGGCCTGGGATCCGAGGAGAGCCCTCCGTCTCTGCCGCGCGCAGGGTGTCGCTCTAGGGCCCTCGTTCACCGGGGTCCTGCACGTGGGGGAGCACATGCCGCAGGCACGCTTGGTATTTGCCTGTAACAGCGAGAGCAGAATTCACCTCCTGCTCACCGTGTGCACTCTCACTGGGCGGTCAAGTGTGAACATCAAAACCCTGGTCGGTTGTCGCAGTGAGACTATTCCGTGTGATTCTGTAACCGTGGGTTTGTGCCATTCTACGTTTGTCAAAGCCCATGGAGTATGCAAAACCAAGAGCGAACTCTAATGTAAACTGTGGGCTTCAGTTAATAGCGTAGCAATGTGGCCCATCAAGTGTAACAAAATGCCCTGCTAATGGGAGATGTGAAAATAGAGGAAAGGCGGAGGCGGGGTGGGGGAGTCAGGATGTGTCAGAAGTCTGTGCTTTCGGCTCACTTTTCTATAAACCTAAAATTACACACAAAAAGGTATTACTTTAAAAACTCTATTTGGAGGAGACGTGATCCTTCCAAATTCTCAAAAAGCGGAGCAGAGTGGTGAAGACCACAGACCCTAGAACGAGACTGCCCAGGTTTGAATCCTGGCCACGCTGCTTCACTAGCTCTGAGATTTAAGCAAGTTACTCAGCTTCCCTGAACCTCATGTTCTTTGTCTGTATAGCAACAAGCATAGTCAGAGCCCTTTCTCGTAGGATCCTTAGCTTAGAGCAGGTCCTAGAATATAGTAAGTTCCATATAGCGGTTAACTGTCCTCGTCATTATTATTAACTAAATGCACTGACTCAATCAAGGCCAGACCCTCGTTTCTTCCCTCTCCTTCTACAAATGAAGCCACACTTCCTCAGATGCCACGCGGGTGGCGATTCCCCACCCCCTCCCCGGAAACCGGCAGATTTGGAGGGCTCCCGAAGCAACAGGACACGTCATGAGGATATGTTCTCTCAAAGCCATGTGTGATGTCCAAGTCTTACCTGACGCCTTGTGGACTTAAAGTGACTCAGCGGGCACTTGGTAGGACCCGTTCGACTCCAGGCTTTGGCAGCTGCTGTGGGACACAGGAGAACACAGAGTAAAACACAAGCGTCCAACACGGAGGGAGAGAACTGGCGGGGGGAGTCCATTCAAGGGCATGCGGGGTACAGGGTGCAACTTACCTGGCAGGGACGAATTTCTTTGCTGCAAGAAAAAGACAACGATTAGTTTGGACTGAACCACTTTGAAGGACACCTCACATCCCAAAACAGTCTGACTCTATTCATCTTCAGGAGTTGCAAACTCAACACCTTCGGGGGCCCCCCGTATAAACAGAGCGCAAACAGCCTGGTGGTGACCGGGACGGGGGCGGGGGCGGGGGCGTGCAAAGGGGACCCTCCCTGCGGCGGGTGGGGGCGGGCGGCCGCTTCTGACACAAGCCGGTAGCTGCAGACTCGGCCGCCAGATTGCTCTCCCAGCGTTCCCCAGCAAGTCCCAGGTCGGGATGTCCTGTGAAAGCGCCTATTCGTAAACACCAGAACTTAATTCCCAAAGTGTTAACTATTCTGTAGGCCAAGAAAAGCACGTGTGTCACTGGATGTGTTTGTACATTCCCTCTGAAATGTTCCCCAATTTAAGCCCTTTTCCTAGTAAAAGTTCTAGCGCTGTTTCCCCCATTTTCCGGGGAGTGCCGACGCTGGCCGCCTGGCTGCTCAACGCCAGGGGTTTGTAAGATTCAACACGAATGGTGTTGCCGTGTTGTCCCAGGTTAGCACAGCTAATGCTTACACTTCCCAAAACTCTGCCCACTTTGAGTTTGCTGTGAACACTTTCTCTGAGACATCTGCTTAATTTAATGCAGTTTGTTATTTATCTAGTAACTAGATTGTAATTACTGTCTAAATCTGCTCAAGGGAACGTGACTCATCAGTGAGAACAAAATAATTCTCAGACATGTTTTCAGACGCATTTATAACTCCCCTCACCTTTGTTCCGAAGGCGTTTCACAAGCCAGAGGAGAAACGACGCTAGTGTCAGGAACGAGGTGCCAGCCGCCGAGAGTCCCACTGCCAAGGGCATGGTGGACGGGGCGGGAGCTGAGGAAACAGAAGGAAAGGACTGTCAGGAGGGTGAACGCACTGTAAAGTCTCCTTGTTCCGTTCATCTGCCCTCATCTCTGCACGCTGATTACGACTTACAGGGCGGAAGAGGTGCCTCCTTCAGGGTTGTAGCATAGACCTTTGGGTGCTGCATCGCCCTCTGCCAGGCAAGTTCTGGTGCCACTCTGTACCTCGATCCCTCTCTCTCTGTCCCTCTTCCAACTGTCAGAGTTCTACTCATTCGATCAACATGTCACCTCTTCCCTGTTCTCTAAATCCTCATAAAATTGAATATTCACCTGCTTATTGACCTGCCCAACCCGTCTGGCCTTTCTGGTTTGGGCGTAATGGACAGTTCATTATTTTAGCTGGACGACCCCCCTTCTTCGTGCGAACCCCCCTTCTTCTCGCTAACCCCGACGACGGCCATTGATGAGCGCTTCACCTTCACAGGTAGGCGGCGTCGCAGACCAGTTTCCCGTGGCGCCGCACGTCAGAGCCGCGGAGCCGTTGAGCGTCCACCCGTCGGGGCACGCAAACGCGCACACAGCGCCGACCAGCGGCTCCCCGCGGCAGGTCATGTTCACCTTGCCAGGAACGGCCAGGCTCGGACATCGCACCCCTGCAAGCGACAGGGACCCGGGCAAAGGTTAAGGAAATGCCACTGGAAAACTTCTGGAACTGGCTGCGAAGTCAGCACCAAACGTAACTAATAAGCCCCAGTTCATTTTCAGCAGGTAGGAAATTAGGGTCATGCCCCCTGGGGCCCACTGTGTTCAGCACCGTGAGAGCCCTCGCCCTGTAAGTCCGAATTTGGTCTCACCTTGGCAGGAGGGGACCTCCTGTGTCCACTCTCCCTGGGATGTGCACTCCAGCTGAGCCGATCCTTGTAGTTCGAAACCTTCCCAACAGCTGAAGGCACAGGACGTCCCGTAGGTGAAATGTCCAGCCGGGGCGTGGCTACAGCTCACCCAGCCGCTCTGCAGCTCTCGGACCGAGTCGCATTTCACAGCTGGAAGACAAGGGAAGCACGTGAGAGGCGTGTCTGTCAGGCAGCAGCAGGTCTCTCCAAGGCACCAAGTCCCTGGCTCCTCAACAGTTTTTTTTTTTTTTTAATCTTAACAGAAAATAAAAACAAAAACTGTACCTTCGCACGTGGGCTCCTCACTGTCCCACTCCCCCGTGAGGCCACAGTGGAGAATTGTGGGTCCTTTCAGCACAAATCCTTCCTGACAGGAGAACTCACAGCTGGACCCCATTTGGAAACTTCCAGAAGCACTGGGAGCACAGTTCACGTGGCCTCTCTTGGGGCTGGATAAGGCTTTGCACTGGGAGGCTGAAACACCAAACTGGCGGTCAGAAAATGTCGCCACAGAAGAGGGGACTCCCTGGCATCGGACCGAGTGAACCCCGTTCATTGTGGACAAAGACGCGCTCAGAGGACTCAAGACTCTTCATTACTCCCTGGACAACTGGGAAGAGCTGGGGTTTCTTTGAATTCCAATCCCTTATTGACAGTGGCTCTAATGAAAGAGTGGCTTTAAAATGAATTAAATTTTGGTGCTCAGGTGTGTGGTAAGGGTATCTTTATATCTGACACTGCAACTGAGACACCCTCGTCACTGCTAGTTACAAGCGCTCTCCGAGGAAAGGCACAACAAGGGTGTCAGCATCGAGTCATGTTCTCAAGATCCTACTTTTCAAATGTTCTAATAGGATTTCCCATTTGCTACGGACGTCCGCCTCTCTGGTGCCTGCGTCTACAACGCCCCAGCAGCGCTGCACAGTTAGAGAACCAGCAGGGCACTTGCTCTCCTCACACACAATCCTTCCCCTCACGGAGCCTCCGGACATAAGATGAGTGTCGCGCACTGAATCCAATCTCCACAGGTGAGGCAGGCAGCTGCCCGCGTTTTGGACGGCTGCCCTTTGAGGAAGGGAGAGTTGGGACTCACCTGCGCAGACCGGCGCTTCCTGCGTCCACCGCCCTTGAGCAGTGCATTCAACCCGCGCCGGCCCCTGCAGCAGGAAGCCTTCGTCACAGGTGAAGCTGCAGGACGGCCGGAAGGTGAAGTCCCCGGCAGGAGCGTGGCTGCAGTTCACTAGGCCATTCTGAAGATCGCCGATGGCACCGCACGTCACAGCTGTAACACACAAGCCCACCCATTTACGTGAGTAGGTCTGGCTTGGCCGCTGTGGAGGGTAGGACTCATAAAATGGCACTGGTCCAATTAAGATGGCATAAAGTCCATAAAGCAAAGCGGAGTCACATATAAGTGACTCCAGAAAAATGGCTGTCGGTCAGCCATGACACTTCGGTTCAAGAGGGAAACTACCTAAGTCATGCCAGCCACGCCTGGCAAGGAGACACACCTGAGATGTCGGCACACGTGGTCAGGGAGCCGCATCTGCAGACCAGAACCACCATAGACAGGCTCCCGGGGAAATCCCCCACCTGCCATCAGGGGCGCCAAGGCACTTAACAAAAGACCAGGAGGGTGGAGCCCACCGCTCTCAAGGTACAGCCGAGGCAGCTCCAACCACTGCGGAGACGGCCGAGCTCCCCCTCCCGAGCGCGGCTCCGCGCCACGCCGAGCTCCCCTGGCATCGGCCGCCGGAGGCTCCGCCCTGCCGGACTGGGGACCTCGCCTGCCCTGCTGCCCCCCGGGCTCTGGAGGTCCCTCCCTGCAGGACGCTGACGGGCCCCCTCGCCCCCCGTGCTGTGTCCCGGACCCGCAGCCTGAGGCTCTGGGACTCGGGCTCGTTATCCCCCGTGGGTTGCTGTGTGTGTGATGTTTCTCTTAGACTGACAGAGTGAGAGTAGGACACCAGTGTACGTTCCTGTTCTACTTTGCGTGAACTGCATTCAGCAAAAGCTGAGTGAACAGCACAGTGACTGCGTGTGGCTCCTGTCTGTTTCTCGGGCGGGCCGCTCAGCAGGCGGCGCGCCGAGCCCCGCGCCCGGCTGACTTACAGGAAAGGCCGTATCCGAGTAGACGCGCGGGACAGCCGTTTAAGGATAAGCTGAGAAAAAAGGCATTTGCAGTAAACCTTGACAGGGAGCTACGCTACCTGCACACGTGGGCTTCTCGCCGTCCCAGGTCCCAGACGAGGTGCACTGGAGGCTCCGGGGCCCCACCAGCTCAAATCCCTCCACACAGTCAAAGGCACAGCTTGTGTTCCACGTCAAGCTCCCGGGGCTCGGGGCGCAGTCCACGAGTCCATGGGCGGGACTCGTCAAAGCATCGCACTCAACCACTGGGGATCGGAAAGAGCACCATGGATTTAAGGGGTTGGCACGTGCACCTCCTATGGGATTCGAGTTCACAACGGAGCGAGGAGGCTGCTCTAGAGGGTCGACCCCAAAGCCTGCCGTCCACTCCTGGGGACACGCACACCCACGGTAAAGCTTTTAGGCTTTTTCCATGGATATTTTCATCTTTTCTGGTTTTCACTTTGACTGTGCTGAGTGCTCTCTGATCTATTGTCTCACATTTCTCACCAGGTCTCTGATCTGTTTTACATAAGCCAAAAATGAAGAGAACACAAATCCTAAGGCCGATTTCTGGCAAATTGTGATTTAAAAAAAAAAACAACTCAAGGTGACATACAAGAGACACTCATTTATTTTAACCCAATAGTCCTAGAGGCAAGAATTTTTATCTCTGGCTTGGAAGATAAAACGGAGAGAGAAAAGGAGGTACTGAGACCTCTTATCACTGCCCTGAGAGAGCCTGTGGTTGAAGTTAAACAGGGAAAGGAGAGGAGAGAGTCCCTCGGGGCCCAGCGCATCCTCCCAGAGTTTTGTGCGCTCTCTTAGGGGCGGCCAGAACTTCCCAAACGCTCACGTCCTACACAGAACAGAAACCTCTTTCGCTTTAAGCCGGCACTGCCCTGGCCATGGACATTGGCTGAGAGAAGACATTTCATTGAAAGGAGAGAAAGAACCTTGCCTAGAGTTTTGACAATGTTTCAAGTTGCGTAAAGAGCTAAGGCGAGGAGGGGCGCCCTGCAGAAGGCCGCGTGTGTCCTCGTGCCCGCGGGAGGGACGTACCTGTGCACCCTGGGAAGGGTGTGCTCCACTCCCCGGAGGCGGCGCACTGTGGGGCGGCGGAGCTGCTCGGCCGGTAGCCTTCCACGCAGCTCACCGTGCAGGAGGAGCCGTAGCTGAAGTTCCCCCAGGGGTGGGTGCAGACCAGGCTTCCATGCTCAGGGTCTTCCTGGGCCGGACAGGTCACAACTGAAAAGGGACAGAACAAGTCAGCTCTGCTCCTTTCTCAGCTCATGGAAGGCGGGAGGGGCCTGGGGAACGTCAACAACTGTGCGCTGAGGGTTTCCTGAAGCCAATGCATTTGCACTGGTTCACATAGCCATAACCACAAGCCTAGGACATCAGCTCTGTCCTCACTGTCATTTGACAGTGAGAAGCGGGGCGCCTCAGAGCTTAACCACCTGGTCACAGTGCCGTCCCCGGGGGGCGACTCCGGGATCTGAACCTGGAGGCTCTGACTTCCCAGGCTCAGCCCTCCGTGCCAGCCCCGGCCTCCCTCAGCCCCCGGGGAGAGGGCACGTCAGACTTACCTTGCTCACACTGGGGCCCAGAGAAGCCGGGGTGGCACTGGCAAGTGTAGTTGTTGACGGTCTCCACGCACTCCCCGTGGCCGCTGCAGGATGTGGGCGTGCAGGCAGCTGTGGAAACACAGTCCGTGATAAGGAGGCGGGGTTCCTTGGACGGGGTCAGCAGTGTGTGACAGAGGCCGCACCAAGGACATGGGGTGCCAGAGACTTGAACCGAAGCGCTTCACAAAGTGCCAAAGCCAAGCTATAGCTCCGCTGCTTAAACCTTGGTGTCACACTACGGACGGACCCCAGGGCGGAGCTGCCCCCGGCTCTGAGGGCAGAAAATTCACGCTGTCACAGCCTCTGAAGACAACCTCTGTGGCCCCCTGCCACAGACAAACCAAACTAAAAAGCGCACTGCATGCGTGCAGGCACCCTCTACACATGCAAAGACCTAAACATGCAGGCGCATGTACATGCATGCACAGATATCTGCACAGAGGAGCGAAGAGGCACTTCGCCAGCCACACAGAGCGTGTGAAAGCCAGGCCTCTGAGAAGAGAGCAGCGTGGCAGAGGCCCCGGGGCCCACAGCCGGCAGCGGCCCGCCCCAGGCGCCCCCGCCCCCGCCGCCGCCGAGCACCCACCTGTGTAGCACAAGGCGAGCTTCTCCTTGCTGCACCTCTCGTCGTTCCACTTGCCCGAGTCCTTGTCCCGCCTGATGTAGATCTCCACGCAGTCCTCATTCCTCTGCCCGTTGTTCGGCTCCCCGGGGGCCCAGTTGGTGGCCTCCTCCGTCAGAGCCTTCTGGGTCCCGATCCAGACCCACTGGTCGTTGATCTTTCGGATCCCGATCCAGTAGTAGCTCGACGAGTAGTTGAACGTGGCGTTCAGGTATTTAATCTCTTCCTGGTTTTGAATGGCCACCAGGTGGGTGTACTTCTGCTGGCAGTACGCGCTGGCGGCGTCGAATGTCATGGGCTCCTCGGAGGCGTGGTAGGTCCAGGCTCTGCCCTCGTTAAACAGGAGAAGCACTAAGGGGGGAAGCCGTGAGGAGGGAGACAGTTTAGCCATCATTTGACTCTGTTAACTGGGCTCCCCCCGTGCCCCACCCACTATTCTTTTTCTATTTTTTACTGCGGTAAATGCCATTGAACACCTTAATCACTTTAAATGTGCTGTTCAGGGGTATCAAATACATTCGAAATGTCGGACAACCATCAGCCCCATTCATCTCTGTGACTCTTCTCACCTTATAAAACTGAAACTTTGTGTCTATTAAACTAGAGCTCCCCTCCGCCTCCCCCAGCCCCCGGCGACCGCCGCCCTGCTTTCCGTCCCTGCCACCGGCACTACGCGAAGTCTCTCTCACAGGTGGAATTACACAGTGGTTCCAGGGCTCTCTGTGGTCTTACTGCTGCTGCGGCAGAGTGGAGAGGACTCAAGTCTTGTTTGCCTTTTCCAAAGCTGGAAGGCGTTTGGATAGAGAACCTTGCGTTTACTGTGCATTTTCTTTTTCGGCCGACCCTCCCCCTGGGGAACTCCTCTGCACCCACCCGCCATCTCCTACGAGCACACCCGCCTCACAGCGGACAGTGATCCGGGGAACTAAGCGCCCTTGAGCGCCACCAGCACTGTCTGAGGCACTTTGCATGACCATGACACCGGACCCTCACAGGGCCCCTAGCACATAGGTATGTTGTGATCAACACCTGACACGTAAGGAAACTGAGGCACAAAGAGGGAAATAGCACCTAGTCCGGGGCATAACACGTTGCGAGGAGAGGCCAGGGAGGCTGCTCAGCCCCGCAGTGCGCTGGCTGCCTGCCCACGAGGAATAGTTATTGTGTCCAAAATGCTACTGGCGCCAGGGGTGGTGGGCGGGAGACTCCCGCTCTGACCGAAGGCATTGACTTACCCAAGGGGAGAGCAGAGAGAAGCTGGGACGCAGTCATGGCTTCAGGAGTCCTTTCCGTCAGAAAACCGGACCTGAAATGCTTTTCGGAGGAGAAAAAGTACAAAATGAATAGGAGAAGGAAACCCCAGGTAGTCAGTTGCTCATGCCATTCTACAGTGATGTTTGAGGTGGCACCCTAAAACTTTAGGTCACAGGCTCCAGTGCCACCATCTTTATGTGAAAGAAGTTTACATGCATGGAAAGGAAAGGCAAAGCAAATCTTTCATCGCTAACGTCGAAGACGTCTTAACAAGTCTGAAGGGAGGAAGAGCTTGTCCAGCTCTGTCACCAGGCGGGTTTTATGCGTATCTGTCCGTATCGGTCACCTTGGCTTCATGGCCCGAGGCTGCTCTTGTAAAGACTTACGGGTTTGTGAAGAGGTTGTTTCCCTGTCTGGATCCCCGGCGCGTCCCCGCTGCTCTGGTAGTGCTGCTGTGGAGTCAGGCAAGAACGGTGCAGCCCTGCCCCTACCAGAGCCTTTTATAGGACAGCGGCTTCCTGTGAGTCACCAGACGGAGTGTCCAAACCCAGCGCTGAGGAATTCCCCGGCAGCAGCCAAAAAGTTTCCCGGGAATCTCCGTCACGCCGCCCCTCACTACGACGGCAGGAACTGCCCTCGGAACCAGCTCTCCTTTGCTTCGCGCCTGCTTATTTTATGTGAGTTCTATTAATGTGACATGACTGTGTGGCTTTTTAATCCACACAGCATAAAATCTCTGCCTTTAAAGAGTTCTGCGACTCTGCTGACGAGCAGCATCCCTTCTGCGGTTGTGGTAGTGATCGGAGTCTCGTAAATACACGCAAACCGGGAGTAGTGTTGTCCCGTGTGGACCACCAGCCTCCGTCGCCTTGTCCGGCGCTGTCTGTGATAGGTCCCCAGTGGCTTTCTCCCTTGCTCACACATCAGTCCAGCCCACACAAGGCCCACCCCCATGGACCGGCGCGTCCCAGGCGGACGCCGGCCCTCGGAGTCGCCCACGGCGCGCGCTGAATGACTAGAAATGGCACCTCTAACACTTACTTCGAATTGTGTCTCTTGCATTGACTGAGGGCTTACTCTGTGCCAGACCTGCCCTGAGTATTTTGCACACCCACCTATATGATTGTGGGACCCTCACAGTGGCCAGTGGACTGGGCACTCTCATCGTCCCCATTTTACAGAGGAGGAAACGGAGGCACCAAAGCGTTGGCTTTTCTCACCCACAGTGGGTTGAAACCCAGGCAGTCGATCTCCAGAGCCGAGCACCTTAGCTGCCACCCCCAACCCCGGCTGCTGTGGTCAGGCCCCCGAGGACCCCCTTCCACTCCCCCTCCCCGTTCCTCCCCGGTCTCCGGTCCTCCCTTGCCCTCCGCCGAGAGGGCTGAGCCACGCTGCCTTGGATCCAGAGACATGGAGGCAGGAAGGGAGCCCCGGACAGGGGACAGGGGCTGCCGAGAGAGCAGACCCAGGTCCTCAGCCCGCGGGGAGACAGCGGACGAGGGACCGGCGAGGCGGGCTGAGCTGGGCCTGGGGAGGAGGCTGTTGACCCCTTCGCCACTAGCCCTAGGCGACCCTGGTTCAAGAGCAAGTTCTCTCTGCGGCTAAAGGAAAAGTGATTATTTTAAATGTGACTAGAGAGAACTTGAGGGAGAAAACCCAGTACTGGAAGGAGGGATAAGAGAAATGGTGGGGGGGGGGGTGGATATGTGAGTAAAGGCAATTGATTATCATTATTACCACCACTACCAGGGGTCTGATATTCCAAACCCACTCACAGTCGTCCCAAGTTCTCCCAGCGAGAGGCCCTGAGGCTGGGTCTGCACGTGGGTGCAGGGGGCAGGGGTCTTTCCTCAGGCTCCAGGGCGGCTGAAAGGCAGGGACAGACCCGGCCGCCGCTCACAGAGAGGCCCCAGCACAGTGAGGGGCGGGAGTGGGGGCAGCCGGACCGTGGTCTCGTCACTGCGTTCTCTGCCGGGGCCTGACGGGCGCAGCCGCTGGTTGGGGTCAGCAGCGCGTTGAAGAGGAAACGGTGAGAGTTGAATGGGTGGGGATGTTGAATCTTATCTCTTTCTCCCCCAATAAGCCAATTTCCCCCAGTAACATGCTGCTTGGAGGGGTCCCAAGGCCCCACTGCGTCTCCCAAGCTCTGACGACGCAGCCCACTGTCCCTGCTCAGTCTCCCCGCTCCCCGGCTTCCTGTGGGCCCCTTACAGTCCCCACCTCAGGGGAGACACAGAGAAAAGGTTGGAGGACAGAACGGACGGCCCCAGCCAGGCGCCACCCGGGGCACCCGCCTCGGAGGCACTCCCTTTCCGGTCCCGCAGCGCCCCTTTCCTGGAAGCTCCCTGCCCTCTGCTCCGCAGCCTCGAATGGGGGGCCAAGGACGTGGACCGCTTTGTCTCTGTGCCCGGGCCCGTTCATGCCCTGCTTCATGGTGAAGGGGCACCCCCGAGGGATGAGGGAGCCAGAGGGAGGACGCTGGGGGCTCCCAAGACAGATGCTGGTTGAGCCCTAGGCACCCTATACTCCACACCGTCACTGCCCAGGGACAAATAAAGCTACCGACAGGAGCAGGTTTGGCTTTCGTGGAAGCAGCACTGGCTGGGAGCGCAGTACTGCTGGCAGGAAGTGGGCTTTGGCTCCTTGTGTGGACTGGGAAGCTTGAGGGGGGCCCTCTCGCCTTCCGAGGTCCTTGGCCCCCCCACCTCTGGGCAGTGTTGCTGGGCGCTTGTGTTTGAAAACCTTGGTACTTTGCTCCCAAAGTCTACTCTGCTGGCGTCTCCAGCACTTCTGCAGCGTCGAAGGAACGGGGCAGAAATCCCAATAAAGTGTCAATTCTCTTTGCAGAATGCACAGGCGGTGTTTCCTGCACCCCCAAAATTGTGAAGTAGTGTTAATATCAGTGCACTGTCACGGCGTAGAATGGTGTCCCTTGTCTGACTAACCTATGGGCATGTTTCATGGAAAACTGGTTTGGCCCCTTCTAAACGCAGTCCTCGGGAAAGCTTGCTCGCTCGTTCGGGGTTTGTAGGCACCTTAGGACGCCTGAGTCAAGCAGGAGCCCTGGACAGTCTTGGTCTGCGCTCCCAGGCCGGGGAAGAGAAAGCCCCTCAGATTCCCTTCATGTGAAGAAGACTAACTGTGAGCTCCTGCAAAATGCATATCTTCAGGTCCAGCACTCAGAGAGCCTGACTCAGGAGGTCTAGGGTGGGGCTCAGGGACCTGCTCTTTAAATGCACACCTCAGCCCTGGTTGGTGGTGCAGCTCAGTGGATTGAGCACCGGCCTGCGAACCAAAGTGTTGCCAGTTCAATTCCCAATCAGGGCATGTGCCTGGGTTGCGGGTCAGGTCCCCAGTAGGGGGCACGCGAGAGGCAACCACACGTGGACGTTTCCCTCCCTCTCTTCCTCCCCTCCCTTCCCCCTCCAAAAATAAATTAAAAAAACCTTTTAAAAAATAAAAATAAATGAATACCTCAGGTGATTCTGGTATGGATGCCCATGTCCTACCACACTTCGGGATATATTGGCCCAGGGCCTCCTAATTCGGGAGAGACTATCCAGAAGTCCCTATGGCTGGTGCTTAGATACAGGCGACAGGCTGGCTGCAGTGACTCCCAACACCCTCTCTGCTGGAGGAAGGCTAGAGGCCCCATCGGTAACGGCGCTGGGCAAATTCAAGAAACATTCATGAAGAGTGGGTGTTTTGCATTCTTACACACAGGAAGTCAATGGTTTGTAGCCAAAGACAGAGGGTAGCTAACGTGAGTACATAGCAGGTTACTCTCTTTCCTCCTCTCGAATCAGAGAAAAAATTAAGTTTCTGAATTTCCCTTTCTAAACTTTCTAGGTAAGACTGAAATCATTTTAATATGTTTCTTTGCTTCTGCTTTGGCAGAACCTTATCTTGAAGCTTCCGTTTTCTGTTTTGGGATCTAAAGAATTAACTAAGGGGAATATCTCCAAAGTGAGCCAACTCCTCCGGAGAATTCCCAAGGCGGGGAAGCAAGCGCGGGCAGGCGGGCGGGCGGTGGCGCGCGGGCCTTTCCTGAACACCACCAGACTGCGGCGGCAGCTGTGCCTGGGGAAGGCGGCCGGGTTTGAGAAAACCCCCGCGCATTCTCCTTGGCTCCGGCGCGGCTTGTTTTGTAAGTCAGAAGCCTCTTGCCAGATTATTATTATCCCCATATCAGAAAACTGTGGCCTCACGACCTTTTGAACAATAAGAGACCGCTGCTTTATACTAATTAGCTCTGTGACTTGGAGCAAACCTTTTTTTGTCTCTTGAAGACTCCAGTTTCCCGTGTGGGAACCAGAGGGGTTCGACTCCAGTCCCTTCCAGCTGTCACACACCATGACGTGACGTATCAACACCGGCCAAGATGCTGCTTTAAATCCAAGTGTGTGTTCTTTCCCCTTGGAGTGAGGTGTTCAGCAAATCGTGAACAAGGACGCCATCTCCAGAGCGCCTATGGAGCACCAAGCACTTTCTGGGCATTACCTCCTACAGGTTTCTCCAAACGAAAGGCAGACATTGTTCATTCTGTTTGGCAGAAGATGCAACACAGGCCCAGAGACGTTAAGTCGCTTGCCAGCATGTCCCTTTCTGTCGTTCATAAATGGCCAGGCAGAGATTCAGATCCGTGTCTGTGCTGTTCTGGGGCCCATGTCCTTTGGGCTGGCTTCACGCCTGCTTAGTCTGAAACCTCAGGAGGAAAGTGTCCCTGAGCTTTTGCATTAAAAAAGAAAGAAAGAATGAAAAGGTATAGCAACTTCCTTGGCACCCTGCACCCCTCCCCGCCCCGGGGGCTCAGTGTCTTAAGCTGGGTTCCTTCCAAAGGAGACCCTGAGACAAGCGTGTGGGTGCAAGTCTTGTATTGGGGGTGACCCCAGGAAGCGAAGAGGCGAGAAGGGAGAGGAAGGGGCGAACGAAGTGGGTGCTAAGAAGCAGCTCACCCCCGGGCGACACCGCAGGGTCCCCAAGGGCGCGCCCACCCACCGCAGGCAGTGGGCTGAGGG